AAGTTATTAAATCATTTATATGTTAACTTTTATAAATCAAACATGAATGAAGTTGTCTGAGAGATATTTTAAAAATTGCTTGGGTAAGCGTGATTTAATCTGTATTCGGTATGTTGTTGTTGGTTTCTAGATAGCTATCGAGGGGAGAATAAACTATTGGTGGTATTGGTCTTCAGGAGTCTTAGCTATTGATGACGTTACACTGTTTTCCTGTCCTGGTAAGTGTTACTTTTTTGAAAATAAATGTAATATGTCTATCTTTATGCTTTGTATGTCCCACGTGCACTAATTTGCATTTCAATACTGTGATCAAAAGTTAATAATGCAAACTTTTATCAACTTATTTATAGATCACTTTATCTTGATAATAGATAGGAAATCTTGATAATAGATAGTAAATCAAATCAATGCCATTGACAACCTGGATAATTTGTTCCTTTTATTTCATTACCTATTAGTTCTGACTTTTTATCCTTTTTATAGATTGTGGGGATCTTGAAATTCCTAATGGAACTCTGTTTACTCCAAATGGAACCAGGTTTGGACATGGCGGCATACAAAAATGCAACACTGGGTTTGTTCTGATCGGAGATCCAAACATCAAATGTACTGCTAATGGTTGGTCAAACACAACGTCATATTGCAATTTTATTGGTAAGAATATTACCAAATATTTATTGTCGCATATTATGTTCACTGACCACGAGAAGGTGAAAGAAGAAACCTCTTGATACATTATTGGAAGTGCAATATGTCACCAATACCCTAAATTAATTATCATCTGATTTTAACTTATATTCTGTCTCTTTATATGTAGATTGTGGAGACATTTCAATTTCAAACGGGAAACTCTTAACTCCAAATGGAACAACGTTCGGACAAATAGGTAGAAAAGAATGTAACACCGGGTTTATTTTGAATTGGGAACAAAATGTAAGATGTACTGCAAATGGATGGTCAACACCTTTGCAAACTGTAGAATTGTTGGTATGACTTTATGTGTCTGTCCCTTTTTGCCTCTAATCCGATTGTTAAAGCAAGGAGACAACACTGTGGGTAGTACAAACTGGAACATACCTATCATGTCAAAATAAAATTAATCTTATTGATGTAAATGGTGAATTGAACAGATATAATTATTATAGTTTATTATTACTATGTATTAACAGTTACAAGAGAACATATTACGAATATCATAAAAAGAGTTAACTGCATTTGTTTGTTAAATGTATGCACACAAAACACTTTTTAAATTCAATAGGTGAAGTATTAACTAAGTGCATATAAGAAAAATATTTGTAAAACAAAAGTAACCTAAACAACTTAAATATGTTTTTAATAAAAGAATAGATAAATTTGCAGAAGAAAACTGAGGATATGAGCAAATTAAAACACAGTTTGGCAACAGTGAGATTCAAAGTTCATGACACTGGTTAAAAACTGTCAAAGTGCAACACAAATACCAACGGAACATACATAAATGTATTTTCCTCATGAAATTATAATCTTAAAATAACTTATTGCATCATAATCTCACCAAATAAAAATTTTAAGGCTACCAAATAGATCTTAAAGATAATAGTTACATGGAATTATTCGGAGTTTATCGCAATGAACAAATGTTATGTCAAACAAATGCATGTCTTAAGTGTCTTATACGCAAACTGTTTCATTGAAAGGTGTATAAAATTTTATTTCAAAACATATATCAAAAACAACTGTTGAATATACAAAATTAATGACAATAAATGTGCCGTAAATTAAATGTTGGTATATGTTTAAAGGAATATAATCTTGTAGTTTCAGATGATGAGCAAGCCAGTAGTCCATTAATCGTCGTGTATGTTTTGATTCCTGTCGTTTTCCTAATAATTGCAGCTATTTTTACTGTGCTGTACATGAGGTAAATTGTTTACAAACCTTAACTGACATGCACAGACGTTTTATGCAGCAAAAACACATTATAGACATGTTTATTTAAATCAGTCATTTACATGTTTATACATTTTTAATGATACAGTATCTTGTTTGTTTTGTTTGTTTGTTTGTTTCATTTTACGCCTTTTCCCAACAGTATTTCAGTCATATAGGCGGGTAGTTTCCTAACCATCGTTCCTGGAGAGTTACACCAGTACTAGACTACCTTCCTCCGCGCTAAACTACCAAAGCATCTCCCGGGGATCGAACCCACGCCAGAGAGGTAACTGGATTAGAAGTCATCGACTCTAACCCCTCGACCACGGAGGCGGTAATACAGTATCTAAATGTTCAGCATACTTTTACAAAAAAGAAACACAAATGCTTTGACGGATAAAATCACGCAATGCGATACCGTTTTTTTAGCTCACCTGTCACAAAGTGACAGGGTGAGCTTTTGTGATCGCTTTTCGTCCGGCGTCCGTCCGTCCGTCGTCCGTCGTCCGTCCGTAAACTTTTGCTTTAAATGACATCTCCTCATAAACCACTGAGCCAATTTCATCCAAACTTCACAGGAATGTTCCCTTGGTGGTCACCTTTAAAAATTGTTCAAAGAATTTAATTCCATGCAGAACTCTGGTTGCCATGGCAACCGAAAGAAAAATCTTTAAATATCTTCTTTTAAACAACCCTAAGAGCTAGAGCTTAGATATTTGGCATGAAACATCTTCTAATGAGTGTCTACCAAGTTTGTTCAAATAAAAGCCCTGGGGTCAAAATTGGCCCCGCCCCAGGGGGTCATTGATTTTCCCTATATACATATAGTAAAAACTTAAAAAATCTTCTTTTAAAGAACTGTAAGAGCTAGAGCTAAGATATTTGGCATGAAACATCTTCTAGTGAATGTCTACCAAGTTTGTTCAAATAAAAGCCCTGGGGTCAAAATTGGCCCCGCCCCAGGGGGTCATTGATTTTCCCTATATGCATATAGTAAAAAACTTAAAAAATCTTCTTTTAAAGAACTGTAAGAGCTAGAGCTTAGATATTTGGCATGAAACATCTTCTAGTGAATGTCTACCAAGTTTGTTCAAATAAAAGCCTGGGGTCAAAATTGGCCCCGCCCAGGGGGTCATTGATTTTCCCTATATGCATATAGTAAAACTTAAAAAATCTTCTGTTAAAGAACCCAAAGAGCTAGAGCTAAGATATTTGGCATGAAACATCTTCTAGTGAATGTCTACCAAGTTTGTTCAAATAAAAGCCCTGGGGTCAAAATTGGCCCCGCCCTGGGGGGTCATTGATTTTCCCTATATGCATATAGTAAAAACTTAAAAAATCTTCTTTTAAAGAACCGTAAGAGCTAGAGCTTAGATATTTGGCATAAAACATCTTCTAGTGAATGTCTACCAAGTTTGTTCAAATAAAAGCCCTGGGGTCCAAATTGGCCCCGCCCCAGGGGGTCATTGATTTTCCCTATATGCATATAGTAAAAACTTAAAAAATCTTCTTTTAAAGAACTGTAAGAGCTAGAGCTAAGATATTTGGCATGAAACATCTTCTAGTGAATGTCTACCAAGTTTGTTCAAATAAAAGCCCTGGGGTCAAAATTGGCCCCGCCCCAGGGGGTCATTGATTTTCCTTATATGCATATAGTAAAAACTTAAAAAATCTTCTTTTAAAGAACCCAAAGAGCTAGAGCTAAGATATTTAGCATGAGACATGTTCTAATGGGTGTCTACCAAGTATGTTCAAATAAAAGCCCTGGGGTCAAAACTGGCCCCGCCCCGGGGGTCATTGATTTTCCTTATATACATAGCAAAAACTTGAAAATCTTCTTTGAAAAAACCCAAATAACTAGAGTTTAGATATTAAGCATGAAACATCTTTAAGTAAATATCTACAAAGTTTGTTCAAATAAAAGCCCTGGGGTCAAAACTGGCCCTGCCCGAGGGGTGTCATTGTTTTTAACTATATGTGTATAGTAAAAACTTAAAAATCTTCTTTTAAAAAACCCAATGAGCTAGAACTTAGATGTTTTGCATGAAACATCTTCTTATGGGTATCTACCAAGTCTGTTCAAATAAAAGCCCTTGGGTAAAAATTGGGCCGAGGGGGGTGGGCTATATACAGGTGAGCGACCTCAGGGCCATCATGGCCCTCTTGTTTTATTATGGTACCATATAAGACATAACAGACTGCAGTGGCACCAAATAAGCGTAATTTTGCCATAGAACGCTTGAAAATGACAGCACACTCAAGAATCACGAACATCAAGCTTCCTTATAACGCTATGCGTTAGGATCTGCATCATTGATAGGAAGACATTTTCGATATCTTTCTTGTTTCAGAGATTAAATCAGTTTCCTTTTTAATCATTGGAAAACTTTTAAGAATAGAAAATGTTATGAGTGGACAACCACTGCGGATGATCACGTGACCAAAATCGTACAATGGGCTCATAAAATGGCGGCCTTAACGCTCGGTAAAAGCAGTGAAATTGAGGTCAGCATACAGTTAACGTTAAATTTATATGTAAAACTAGGCCGCACGGAGAATGTACACGTGTGTTATCAAAGCAAAATACTATTAAGATGAGAATTTATAGCAAGCAAACTGAATTCATTTAATTTAATACTTCCTCCTACTTTTCACTTTCAAATATCATATTTGTATGATTTCAAAGACAGGAAGCGAGAAACAAGCAAAATTCAATGAAAAAATTGACGAAATAGGATAGGCAATAAAATCGTTCGGCCATTGTACTCATTAAATTTGATTCGGCCATTGTACTCGTTTTTAAAAAGATGCACAACTTCGTTATGCAACTTTATAAAGTATGGAAATTGTTCTTGACGGACAAACTTCCGATTGTGCAGAAGATGCCATTGGTAATTTTGCTAAAAATGTGTTTCTTTTACCGAAAACAACGTATTTTAGTATCTGTTCGGCCTTTGTTCTTATCACCCAAAACAACTTTTTCGACTTTCGGGCCTAAGCAGAGAGAGCTACAAAGTAACCAACAACAGAACATTGTGTGGTTTTTATACAGGGATTCCGTGCGGTCTAATTTTACATATAAATTTAACGATAACTGTATGCTTACCTCAATTTCACTGCTTTAACCGAGCGGGTAAGTCGCCATTTTATGAGCCCATTGTACGATTTTGGTCACGTGATCATCCGCAGTGACAAATATGACGGCACCCTGTATTTTAAATATGAATATTGAATCAACGCATTAGATACCAAAATACGTCAGAATCTAATATGCAATAGAAGTACATTCGAAATATGTCATTTTGTATTGTATTTTGTAATTGTATGATATAAATCATACGATTGGTTGACTGAAAATAGCTTAATTGCTGTGTTTGCATGTTATGTGGTATCTTTTTCTTCTATTTGACCTTTTTCAACTTAGGTGGTTCCAGTATTCCAGAATACTGTATAATCACCCTAAGGATATGTTTCCTGTTGTTGTTTGTTTAGTTGTCATTTGACGTCTTTTCAGTGTTATGCAGGCTTCATAACTTCAGATTCCCCTTTGAAATTCCATTTTATTTAGTTCCGCCTATTGTTTTCTCGTTAAGGGCACACACATGTTTTTACTTGGTGACCATACACTTCTTTTCATGGAATGACACTTCTGTGTCACATTGAATATTCCATGATAACCACCGTATTAACACATCTCTGCGGATGTTTATAAATTAAAAAAATCACCATTTTCGTGTTTAAATGTTGAATTCTGCTCAACCGGTGCGAGGGGGTGTGGACAATAACTTGCATTTTCCAGTACCGTCCATGCACAGGCTCAACCAGACCGAGCCTGCAACATTGTCTATTTTGACGTGTTTGGCTTACTTTAGGGCTTCTGATTGTCTCTTTTTTTATCAGAAAACAGGCGAACAAGAGTTGGTGACGCTCAGATCTGTATATACGAAATATGTTACCAATAAATGAAACGTATACTTTCGTGCACTAGTACCGCTAATAAGAGATTAATACACGGCAGAGTAGGGCAGGAAGGGGATAATCGGCACGCAAAATGAATAATGGCCCGAGGGCATTATTCATTTCAGGGCCGATTATCACCTTCTGGCACAACTAAGACGTGTATTAATGTCTTTAATAAACTTGGTAGATCTTATAGTAGCATTTTTCTAGGAAAAAAATGACTTTGAAATTTCTTTCCTTGAATTCCTGTCTGCATTTCTACTACTGTACAGTAACTTTTACAGAGTAATTTACTTTTTGTATGTTCAAAGTACACTACTGTAGAATCTAGAAGTAAGTTTTATTTTCATCTTTTTTCGCTAAGAATTTGTCGTATTATTTCTTTTAATTTCAATAGTAATAACATGTGTGTGTACGAAATACGCTGCGTAAAATGAAACAAACAAACAAATAAACAAAATAAGGTTCCCTTTGAAAGGTTACCAAACCCAACAAAACTCTATGAAGGCTAGAAATAAGACTTAAATGACATTTCCTCCTGAGCCCCTTTTGTATGAAATGTATAGTAAAATTTTTACCATGAGAATATAGACTCAGGGGAGCGATTAGATGACTCCATGGCTCGCTTCTTTATAAATGTAGTTCAAAAATACTAAGCTGTTTGACATCTTATTTCGTATTACGTTTAAACTGAAAAAAAAACTTTGTGAACACACTAATTATGAAAACAAAATAATCATGCGCTGGGAGAGAGTTCGAAAGAGACAATAGTGACATTTAGTTAACCCAAATGTAATTCAATCACAAGTGCTAAAAGAAATTAGCTTAAAGATTTTATGATATAACATTACTATATAAATATTGTTTACAGTTCTACCAAAGTAAAAATTGCATCATGGCGATTCTGACGGCGATAAATTTTAATAGTTTTGTAAGTTTCTATTGAATGTTGAAACTTTATTATGCAATGACTGTCATGATTAAAGAATGTAATGATAGATATTTATCTACAATATAATTATCCCGGCTACTTTGATAGCCAAAATCCTTTGCTTCATCAACGTAAGAAAAACTGCGTCAGTGCTTACTTCTCATTAGTGAAGAACGTCTTGTGTTTTATTATTATGGAAATATTGTATATAACAAAAATATAATGAACATACTTATCGAATTAACCCGATCGTGAAAGGAGGTTTGGATATGCAATTTTGATTTTATGTTTTTGCAACAGTAATTTCCGTCTATCAAGTTATTGTATAGGACTAAATATTTACTCTGGCATGCTTTTAACTGTTTTATAGACATTGTTGAATATATTATAAGACAATATTACTCCAAATAACATATAAAGCTATTATTTAGGTTACACCTTTCTCTTTTGTGCCCAGCCCTTCATGTGTAAACATCACTTCTTTGAGACATGTCAATAGCTATTAATATGTTGTCAAATTTAAAAGAACAAAAAATGAATAAAATTATGTGAAGTGTGTTGTATTACAATGTACATCGCCTATACCTTTTTTTAAAATGTCGTCATTTACCTACAAAATATAAACAACATGGCTTTATCAAACTTACGTATATGAGGTGAAAAGGAAATGTAATTTTGTTTCACAGACAGTGATTGACCTTGATACGCATAATACAATAAAGAAAATTTTAAAAGCTTATGTCAATTTGAAACAATCTAAAACCAAGTGACCCCCATGAGTTACGACCAATGGTCACGATTTAAACAAACTTAGGTTGTACACTTCGATTCTGTGCCCATAATATAATAGCTGGGCTACAAAAATGTTTTACAGGTCTTACAGGTCTTCAGAACCTCAGATTCCCTTTCAAAATTCCATTTTATTTAGTTCCGCCCATTGTTTTCACGTTTAAGGCACACGCATTCTTTTACTTGGGGATCATACGCCGCCTTTCATGGAATGACACTAGTGTCACATTGAAGATTCCATGATAACCGCTGTATGAACACATCTGTGGATGTTTCAGAATTCAAAATTTCACCATTTTTGTGTTTAGTGTTTAAATTTTGAATTCTGCTTAAGCCGGTGCTAGGGGGCGTGGACGGTAACTTGCACTTGCCAGTACCGTCCATGAACAGGCTCAGTCAAACCGAGCCTGCAACCTTTTACAATTTTGCCGTGTTAGGCTTTCTTTAGGGATTCTGTTTTTCTCTATTTCATATGTAATAAAGTCGAGTGACCCCGTTGGCCTATTTTTAACTTTTTGATCTTTATAATACCCCTACCGTGATAATGGCAAGTGGTATATAGTTTTACCTCTGTCCATCCGCCCGACGTGCGTGTATTTGAAAACTTTGTCCGGCCATAGCTTTGTCATGATATTGAAAAATTTGGCACACGTGTTTGTGTGTCATTTGTAACACCTGGACACCTAGCATCAAGGTCAAGTAAACAATAGGAGATCACAGACAAAGGAAACTTATATTGAGTGATAATGTCACCGGCAAATACACATATAAAGAGCTATAATATAAATATACAATTAAGGGGTCAGAAATAATCTTTCCCGGCCCAATAAAATGGATTTTAAACAGCTGGGTAAAATTTGTAGCATGCTGAAACGACGTGTCATGCACAAGACATAAGAAGTTAGCTCCAAGGTCGAGGTAAAGCTAAGAGGTAAATTGTCATCAGTTAGAAAAATCATGTCTTATCAATAACTTTTCATGTAGCCAGGCATTTTGAAGTCTTTTGCAATAAATGTTAAGCATAATTAGACATTGAACATCAAAAGGTTTCTAAAATTCAATTTTTTTTTCAAAAAATAGCTAAGGGAATGTGTATATCTTTAATCGGCCTATCTCCTGATAATTTTTCTACTCATTCATTCAGGAGAGCTCATCGTTC